ACTAATGGTGTGTTTGGGAGTTTACTAAGGGAAGGGAAGGAAAGGTAAACAACAGGAAGGGAAGGGAAGGGAAGGGAAGATAATTGTAATATATTGTTTGGGAGTTGAGTAAGGTGAATGAAGGTGAAAGGAAGTAAATATATGTAAATTTACATAAATGACTTTATACTAATAACACATCAGCCCTTTTATTTGTTTTGATGGGGGTAAGAATGTCATTACACCCCTTTACCCTCCTTTACCCTCCTCTACCGCCCAAATCGGGGGGGGGGGGGGGGGGGAAGAAAACCAAGCAATTTTACCCTCCTTTCCCCTTCCTTCCTCCTCTCTACCCTCCTTAAAAAAACTCCCAAACAAGGTGAAAGCCTCATTTCTCTTCCCCTCCCCCTCTCTACCCTCCATCCAAACAGGGCATAAAGGTCGGCGAGGTTAGAGGTTGGGAGAGGATTGAGAAAGGCTTTTTTTTGTATTGGAGGGTAGGAGGGAGAAGGTAAGGTTAGGGTTTGGGGATTAAGAATTAGGATTTGCAGATTGGGTTAGGCCCGTTAGGGTTTGGAGATTGGGAGCGGATTTGAGGGTCTAATTTCAAAATGTAAAAGCTTTGGAGGATTAATATCTAAAAACCCTTGAGTTTATAATTACTTAGGACACATGGGCTTTAGGTTGAGGGTAAAATGGGAACTTCAAGCTTTTTCTTTTTTTTTTCCCTAAAAAAATTAACTTTGTGTGACATTGCAAACATAATAGTAAGTAAATGTGGTTTTGATAAAAAGTAAAAGGGAAAAGGAGGTAAATATCAATTTGGAAAAAAGTCAAGGTGACTTTCATATAAAACCCCTAATTTCTTTTTAGGAGGAAATTTTAAAACAATCCCGTTTACACTTTTAATCCTAAAAAAAGACCCGTTTTCAACTTAATTTCAGAAACCGACTTGGTTTCAGCCTTGGCGCTGAAACCAGGCCGGCTTCTGAAAATAAGTTGAAAACAGGTCGTTTTTGGGATTAAAAGTCCAAAGAAGACTGTTTTGAAAATTTATCCTTTCTTATTATAATTGGTCCGAAATTGACCCCAAGACCATGGGAGCGTTGTTGCTAATTAGTTACTAGAGTTTTTTGTATGATAAATACACTATCCTAAATAAATTTGAACTTAATATCAAGTTAGCAAATTTTAAGGGGTTTTTTGCATATATATGCCCCTCGAACCTTTCATATTTACAAAATAACTTTCAAGTTCTCTCACATTTATATTTTTTTATCCCTTTTCACTTACTAATTTTAGGTTTCAAATAAAAAATTATCAGGAATTTTAACATTGCCTTGTCTAAACAAATAATATTTTTAAGTCGGAATAGTAGAAAGGCCCAAGATGCTATCTTTAAGGGGCAAATTTATAAGTATCAAGATTTGAGGGGAAATTTTGCAAATATTAAAGATTTTAGGGGTATATATGCAAAAACCTCAAATTTCAAATAAGAAAAATAGAGATTGTGGATAACTACATACGTAATTGCATAAAAATATATTTCATATAACAAAAGTCCAATTTTAACAGCCTTTACATCCAATCAAACATTACATTTGGCTTTAGAAATTTGTTTTCTTAAACAAACATAAATATCAAAACAACGAACTTTAGATTAATGCCCTGCATTTAATATTGTTTTCAAGATTTGCTACATGCAACATTTGCCGCATTACAATTGTAGCATAACGAACAAAAATTTTCATCAAAAAAAGTGAGTGTATAAGGTTTAACTCATACAATCCCTGATCTAATTCTCTGTTCTCAGCATCCCATCTACAACCAAACCTTAGCTTAGTAGATAGTAACATTAAGCCTGTAAACCTATTCACATTATTAATTGCAAATGGCCAATTTTGTGATTTGTGTGGGTTTATAAGCAAATACCAGTAATTAAAGAGGCTATAAAAAATAGCCAGCCCGAGGGCGCGATTCCCGCTCTGCGAAAAATCGAGGGAAGATGTTCCGCAACAAAATCCTAGTTCGAGCCTCCCCTCCTCCTTCCTCCTCTTTCTCTCTCCTCCCCCTCTCTCTCCCCATCGCCGGCGATCGATCTCCTCCATTATCGAACTCCATCGATCTCCAAACTCTTTGCTGCAGGCTCTCGAGGACTTGGCGCCTCGCCTGCTTCCTTCACGCCGGTGACATCTTCGTAGTCTATCAGGTACGAAATCACCAAGGACTCATCAAAACCCTAGATCGGGTATCGGATCTGATGTTTCCTGTTGTTTCCTTTGATCCATTGATTGTTGCAGAGATCTCAGTGCGAATCTGCTGCTCGTGTCGTAGATGAGCTTGTAAGATCGATTCCTGGCATCGAAGTAAGGTTCTAGAGCGATTTCGTTCCTTAGATTGGGGTTTCTACCTTAACTTGTGGTTATTCTCATAAGAATTTTGTAGAGATCGGTTGTCGTCTTTCTTATTTTTGATTGAGGAGACACAGATCGTTTCTATTGACTTATGCCAATGGATTTTGTGTAAAATACTCTAATTTTGTTCAAACTGCAATTTTTAATAACTTAGGGGGAAATCCTTGTTGGAGCTTAGACATTCAGATGCTAATAGCGTGTGAGTTGATAGTGACAAGATTTGGGGGATTGCAGGGAAGCTTTTGTATCTGTTTTACAACTCTTGGCCTGTTCATAAAAAATACGACTTAAATTTGACGAAGTTGTCCTGATCAAACCGCTGTGTGAAAATCATGGAGGCTAGAAATTATGTAATCATGGAGGCTAGAAATTATGTGCCCTACATCGGAACTTGATAATTTTAATGAGGGGTTTCAATGTGAAGTTGAAATTTTGATGTTTTAATTAGGTTTTCTTGTAGGAAAACGAAATGCATTTTAGTCAAAATGCCTGGACCTATTTATTCAATATGCAACTCCAAAAACATTTATAGACATTGAATTTGCACTCTGATCAATCTATAAGCTGAGGAAGAAACTAGGAGATTTTTCAGTAGACCTCCATGTTGTTTTTTCCCCTTTCAATGTATAAGTCTTTACCGGCTTAGGAATATTTTGCAACCCTTTATTAGCTTCTGGATAGGATTGAATGATGTGCACTGAATTTTACAGATCATAGACTTAATATAACTTACGAAGGGTTTTAAGCACTGCATATGGTTTTGTCCCGTATCTGAGACCTCTTTGAATCAGTGTGTAGCTGCAAATGAAAAATAAAAGCAGTGCCTAATATTTTGTGAGAATCAGAAAAGAAACTAGTGTTTTCCTGTGACGTATCCAACAAGCTATTGTAGTGTTATATTCTCTGATTCATGAGAAAGCTGTTATATGTTCTAATTCCCAACCAAGAAGTTAACTGATGACTTTTTGCTTCATGATAAAGGTAGGGTTGGAAGAGGAGGTGAGGTCCTCCTCGCTAATTGCAAAAGCAGTTGAGTGGTGGCTGAGATCCATTATGTTTGATAACAGCTGGAGTTGTGTTGGCGAGAATTGCTTTATCCAGTCTAGCTTTGCTTGCAGCGAGGAGAGAAGGCACCTATGTTCCATCAATGTGGTAATTTTTATGTCTAATGCTTTTAGTTTTGTCTGTGACCTATATATTAGTGTTCTCCATTAAATGATTGTTCTGATGGATTCTTATCGATTATGCAAAAATATTAACACAATTTCAGTGTGCTCGGTAAATGGCTGATTATGAATTTATACTTATTATTAAATGCTCCTTTACAAACAATGAATATACTTTAGTGTTGCAACTCCAACTATTAAGCTCAATTATTGGTTAATTTTGGATCCATGGACTTTTTATCTGGACGATTTGTCTCTGCAGATGGTCATGTACACATCTTTTTATTTGCATTTTATTACTTAGTTATGAGATGGTCACGGACACACATCTGTTCTCCATGCTAGAATATGGGGAATTGAAGATCTCATTCTCATTCTCTTCCATTCTTAGGAAATATTGAAAAACTTCTATTAAACAAATTAGAAGATAAAAGAAGATAACATTGGAAAACTAATTACCCCATTCCTGAGCATGTCAGCTGATTGAAGATTGATCAAGGCAAGGCATCATAGAAAGATATTATGGTCCAAGCTGGTCAAATATAAATAGAGCGAAGTGTTTATTTGCTAATGTGACGAAATGAATAAATATGGCCAAAAGTCATTTGTTATAGCACATAAAATCGGGAATTTTAGATTTTGCAAAATTATTTGCCAATGGATAGAAATGACTAAAAATGGCCAAAAAATATAGGTTACAGCTCATCAAATCATGAATTTTGCACTCCGCAAAATTATTTGCTAATTGATAGAAATTACTAAATATGGCCAAAAATCATTTGTTATAGCTCATGAAATCGTGAATTCTGGACTACACATAATGTGACGTAAAGAATAAATATGGCCAAAAGTCATTGGTTGTAGTATATGAAATCGTGAATTTTGGACTCTGTGAAATCATTTGTCAATGGGTAGAAATGACTAAAAAATATGGGTTATAACTTATTTAAATCATAAATTTTGGAATCTGTCAAATTATTTGCCAATGGGTAGAAATGACTAAAAAGGAAAAATTTTCGTTGGTTATAGCATATCAAATCAATAATTTTGGGCTCCGCAAAATTATTTGCTACTGGGTCAAAAAAAATAAAAACAACTTAAAAATATGGGGTTATAGCTTATGAAATCGTGAATTTTAAACTCCACAAAAGTATTTGCTAATGGGTGGAAATAAATAAAAATGGCAAAATATCGTGGGTTATGGAGAATTTTTTTGTCATTTCTACCACTTTGGATATGTTTATGAGTGAAAACATTCACTTACTGAAGAAGATATTTATATCGCATAAGCAAAATAGAAATTTGAAATGGATGTGTAGTCCTTCTCTACTTCAGTAATCATTTATTTGGTAAACTCAATTAGGTAAAATTTATTTTCACATTGGCTCATTGTTTCTAAATGATTTATTTTTAGTGAAACAGCGAGTAACTTTGTTTCTAATTGATTCTTTCATTCTTTTCATATTTTCATAATAATGCTGAGCTTGTGCTTTTCTCTCCTGTGTTCATATTTGATCCTTTAGACAGTACAAGCAGAAACAGATGATGGACTTCTCTTCCTTGTTTCCCCTGACGTACTTTGGTTTAAAAGACATAAGGTAACTTTTTAATAACAATTGCGATAACAATAAATTATTAGGCCTTTCTTTTTTACATTATCGCGCTTCTCATCCTAGCTTTCAGATTTAGCTAGCTCCCAAGTGTTGGGGAAGTTTGAAAATGGTGAGGCAGTCGTTTTGGAGGAATATGGTTTTTCAACAAGCTGCAAAGTTCTTCCTTCTCTTTATGAGGGACATGTTATAGGTAAAGCAAGCTTCACACTTTTAATTGTGACACTGTTAATCTCTAGCTGATTTGACTGACCATTTGACATAATAGTCTGGAAATATATTAAATTGTTTACTAATGGCAGGATTAAGCAAGCTACTTCCTGCTGGGGAGACAGTTAACAGATTTGAAGAGTTTTCTTTATTCAAGGTAAAAAGTCAATGAAACTCCTTAATATGTTTTCCTCATATTTCCAATTTCAATTTATACTCTGTTTTCCTTATTATGTTCGAACTGGCATGTTCGTCATCTTTCTGGTATCAGTTCCTTTTTACGAAAGTATTTGTATTGTGCAGCATGGCCTAGACTTGCCAAGCAACTACTTCTTCAACATCCAGATAAGGAATGGAAGCCATATTAACAGGCAATGGTTAATCTCTTCATAAGACTCTTCTTGTTGAAACTTTTTTCATAATGTGTCATTTTCTCCTCCACATTAGAATCTAACATGAGCACTTTCTGTAACCTATAAAAATGGTTGAAAGGTAGGTACCCATCTGCCTTTGCTCTTCAAGTTTCAGGGTTGGCTCCAGCACCTCAAACAGTTAGAACATCAAAAGCTCTGCAGGCATTGGAATTTTTTGTAAACTTGATCGGAGGTTAGGGACATCCACTTATTGTTTTTACATGTAAATCTGTTCTCTTGTTTATTCAAACAGTTATTTCCTGTAGTCATGTGTTAGGATAAGTAAGTTGTACATGCATTTCTTAGTCACTAAGTGGACCGTAGATAACTAGTATTACTTGTTAATTTGCACTAATGATATTTGAGGTACCTCTAAATTTTCAAGTGCTCGTAAAATGTCATGTTTCTTCCCTAACGAATCTTATAAGTGTAAGAAAGGTTTCAGTCCCCTATATGAGAGTTTATTTGTATTGTTTAAGGTTTAACTTATTAATTTCGTATAAGTTTCAAAACCTATTTCATATAAATGCAGAAAGGGTAAGTTAGAGAAAGCATGAGAACGATTGTGTGACTTTTATGTGTGCTTCTGGTGCTTGGGCATTGGAGTGTCCGAGTGTGCTTTATTCACGCGTGTGGAGCATATTTTACCATATATTGTTCTCATTGTCAATCCTGTTGATCTTGCACTAAAGGTTTATGATGGCATTGTTGGGTGCTCATTATATTAATTCATCATGCAGATTGGGATTTCTTTGGTCAAGGTCTGCTGAAAGTTAAGGTAAAGTGGATTAATGACTGATACGTCGAGCATGATTGTACTTTTTGTTTTCTTGTTTCAATTCCTATTTGTTTCTTGCATCATATTATATATGAACACCTAGTGTCTCATATTCCAATTACCTCCAAGCCAGGCTTGTCTTTTTCCCCTAATACTAGTGGCAGAATTAAGAGATTAGACTGTAGGAGTATTTAAACTTTTTCAGGAAATCAGTAGGTTCTGAGTAAGTTAGAAAAATTGCTGATTATTTCTCATTCTGAGGCTGTAAATATATCACATTATTATATAATTATTTAATGTATATGCATGTGGATGCCTATATGCGTGAGAACTGGTGCATGTGTTTGTGCAAGTTCTCCTTAGAAATAAGTTACCACAGTTCCTGGTAAATTTTTCTGCTGCTTCTGAATTATAGAGGAGTTCTTTTGCATGTGATGATGCTACAATCCTTTTGACCACTCAAACTGCACCGAACACGAGAGACTTATAAGTGCAAATTATCATTGCTTTTAAATATTACAGGAAGTGTCATCACTTGTTACAAGCACACTCTTACCTGCATGGAAAACAGCTACTAGTAATCTAAAGGATGCTACAATGGGAGAACGCATTTCTTATACAGGTGAAGTTACCAGACAGCAGGATACTAATTTGGATCTTCTTCAGTTGTCTCTAGGTACTTTTTCCCATGACCATTGTCTTGCCTTGGTATATTTGTTTTCTGCATGATTATTATTATTATTATTATTATTTGCTTATTTTGCTAGACTTCCACACCCCAAAACCAGCTTTTGGGTGTGTCTTTCGTGAGAAGCATGCAGATGTGCATCAGTATGATTGTTTATTAAGCGATACCAGAGTTAAGTGCCCCCCTGATGCCAATGTCATAAAGGTTGCATCTTTTGCAGAAAGCATTAGTTCAGGTAAGTTTATCCCAGAACCTTTTCCGACCCTTCCGTTTTGTCTAGTCAACAATTCCTTGTATGCTGTTTCTGTTGTTGAATTCTAGTGACAATTGCTTATGTTATTGTTCTAGCTGATGTTTTCAATCCAGCATTTTAGCGCTATACTTCATCTTTAGATATAAATGCCAATCCTTTCAGCTGCTCTTTTCATCTTGCATCTTCCGCTAATATTCTTCATAGTGATAGTATGGACTACAAATCTCTGCCTGGAAAAAAGCTGATTGGTACTAGCTAGATGTGCGATCAATTAACTGCATGTTTTCCATAGTTCATGCTGAAGGCCATGGAAGTTCTTCTGCAGTGTCATAGCCCTTGTTTGTTATATCCTTCAAATTACTAGAACTGAAGTATAGATGTTACATAAGGGACAGAATACTTAATTTTTAAACGAAATAAATCTGAGCTGGGGTCACTCTGACCCCATCCTATGGTCTGAAAAGAAAACGGAACTTCATTTTTATCATGTTAAACCCCATCTACTTTATTCACAGCAATGGTTAAGCCGTATGACTTGTTCTCAATATCTCCAATGCCACTACTATGTTTCGTCAGTTTTATTGTTTCATCTTTTGTTGACTGAAGTAAGACTGTCAGTGAAGTACGACTGACTGATTGCCTGAACTTGAACATGTATACTTAACTGGTCTTCTAGGTTCTACGTCAACATTCCATTTCTTTGCATTCTCTTAGCTGAGCGTTTTACTGTGGGCTTGCTTTGATAGCGCATAGTAAAATTTGTCAATCCTTTCAAACCTTGTAAATTTAAGAGTTGGGTTTCTTTAACACTTCATTTGTTGGGGAAAATGATCATGATTACTCCTGTGGCACGCCACATAAAACCAACAGAAAAGGTAACAGAAAAAATATCATTTCTCGTGTGCTTAATGGTTTGTTCTTTGAGACAGCACCGTGGTAGATACAAGTCAAATTTCTACTGTAAGTCTTCCTTTCTTTGACAACTGGATATGTTCTACTGCCTTTGTTCACTCAAAACTATTTTTAGTTTCTCACGGGAAGTCTCCAATTATGATGAATTAACTGCTGCCTCACCGGTAATTAAGAAAAACCTAATTTGAGCTTCCATGCAGAACCAAAATGTGTAAACAAGAGCAATGGAACTGAAACCTCAGCAGTTAACTTCCTGAGTCAAATAACAGCTGCAAAATCAGAATATCAGAAAGAAAGCAATGTATCCAAGAAGAAGGATGTCTCTGCTGAAATTCTTACGATTAAGATAACACACGAGTCCTCAAGTACGAGCGAGAGCAGTGTACACGAGAAAACTGAAGTTGAAAAGAAGCTTACCTCTGCTGAAGACTGCATGAGTGGAGTAACAGCAGAGGAATCAGACCTTGTTAGTGAGACCAGTGCAAATGAAAAGAAACATAACTCTTCTGGAGACGTCATAAGGGAAGTAAGTCGGGTAAGTTCTTGGTGAACATCTTTTCTAAAGCAAGGCGGTAAAAATCCACTTTATTAAATTGGAGAATGGAGAACTTTTTGCACTAAAAGTGATTCCTTCTTCTGTTGATTACTCCTCTAAATGTGAACTATCATATATATTTTTTTGTAAGAACAACGAATTCATATAAGGTTTATTTGTACCAAGATGGATTTTCTTTTACTCAAGCTTATCCCTTCATTTGCAGAATGGTGTTTCAGTGCAAAAGGTTGAAGTCAGCGTGCAATCTGTAAGATTTGAAATATTGGTTCATGATTAGCATGAGAATTGTGGAAAAAGTTAACTATAATTTTGTTTTCAGAATTCTCGAATCTCACAGAAGAAGAAAAAGATTAAAACTTTTCTTGATAATCAGTGTTCCCAAGATTATAATAACGGTAATTTTCCCCTTCATATCCCATTTTTGTGCATTTTCTCTTGTCTGACCTGTAGATATTCTGCTTAGTGCCACATGTAGAAGTTCTGGTGAAGAAGACCTTCAACAATGAGAAGAAGATATGTTTACTATCTCTACATCAAACTTACAGTTTACTACATCATATTTGGTTTATGAAACTGATACTGACAATTAAGGAATTAGGATATCTCACCATGCTATTCCTGTTTTTAATATGGGGGAGCTATATTACCTGTACACTACATAATATAGGACTTCAGTTATTTGATAACTTGAATTAGGAGTGTGTTGTCTATCCAGTAAGTTTGTTTACTTAATTGCAAGTTAAACCTCAGGTAAGTAGGCTTTCTTTCTATGCATTTCACTAAATTTTATCTGTACTCTGCAATCAACATTTTCTCCTGTGATTTCAGTCCGAGACTATTGACATGATTGTCATATTCCAAAATAGATATGATTGCCATTCATCCGTTTCTTCAAAAATTTGACTAGAAAGAATGTTGCTACATGCTTTCATTTGTACATACACATTAAAAGTAAGAATGAATAACACAATTAATTTTCATAATCTATGTTAAATAGGGTGTATGACAATTCTATGCATATTAGACAGTCCAGAAAATGAGGATCCTGCCATTGTAGGTTTTGAGGGTCAAAAGTTGTAACCTTGAGCCCATGTCACAAGAAACTGTTTCCACAACTTTAACCTGGGACCTCAACCTTACCATATGCTAAGCTCACTCTCTGCCCTTTTATTTTTTGTTTTTTTTTGTCCGCCCACAGCCTTATGCGTAATATGTATATAAATTGCACTGGAATATAACATTTGCTCCATTTCTACCTATTCATATAATTATGAATTTGAATCATGTTCTGACTTTCTTGTATACTTCATTCTTCATACTGACATAGCATGTCATTTAGTGTTTATCTAGCAATGGTATTGATCCATAGACTTTTATTGTTTGATATTTCAATTGTATTAATTGAATTTTATGGAAATAAAGACCCCTTTTGGGATTCATTGTCTACTTCTGAAAAATTCACAGTAAAGAAGCTGCTTCATTAAACTGTAAAAAGATGAAGACGAAACACTGTGTGAACTCCTCTGATATAATTGCAAAGGTGAAGTCACAGTTCTTGCATCATTCATGATTAAATTAATTGTGGAATCTCATGCTTTGATTGCTTTCAGGTTATAGATTACCATAGCAGGGGTGTTCTGCAATCACTTACTGTTCCAGATCTAAAATCCTTTCTCACTATTAAAAACAAAAAGGTGGGAGGAAAGAAGGAAGAACTTGTACAAAGAATCACTGATTGCTTGCTTAATCCAGATCACTTCCATAAGTTGTAAAAGGTCCTATTTTGTTGATACGTAAGAACTTACACTTCTCTTTCAGTATCATTATTGCATCAGTTTGGTTTGCATTTCAATAATAGTTTTGTTTGATTTTCAAGATTTGCGGTATTTGCCTTGGTACGTCAATTCAGTGGCTACTATTTCCATGCTGATGCAAAGAAGTAACTCAGGTAATTTTTACAATTGCACACTGCAACTAGGAAGAACCAAGGAGTTTTAAAATTTTAGAGGTATCTATTGTCCTAGTGATATTTCCAACTTCGCCATGGAAGGTATTGCACCAGACTTCAAGTATCTTCTCAAGACCAATCACATCATAAAATCTTTAGGAGTACATTTATTAACATTCTCTTTGCATATTTTATCAATACTAGATTTTATACTATGATTAAGTATTTTTGGCTTATTTTCTAAGTAAAATTTGTTCATCAGTTCCACTTTAATAGTTTGTGCTCAATTTTGTCTCTAAACTTTTATATCGATTTTTTTTATGTTTGTTTACATGAGCTACACTCAATTTAAATTTTCATGTTGATATTTGAATTGACAAAAAACAAATATAATTTGAAGCTAATTTGAATTTTCATATTATCTTGACTGATATGAAGCCAAGTTTACTTGAGAAAGTATAGTGTTGCAAAAGTAAAAATATTAAAATAGTGTTAGGTGAATATTTAAAACTAATAAGGCAAAATGATTGACTGAAAGTATGCTACAACGATATAAAAGAAAATATGAAGTTTGTTCCTAATCATTGATAGACTTCATAAAAAATTATAAATTAAAGATGAAGTTTGTTCCTAATCATTGATAGACTTCATAAAAAATTATAAATTAAAGATTAATACTAACTCTATTATACTTTTATATCATTGATAGACTTCATAAAAAATTATAAATTAAAGATTAATACTAACTCTATTATACTTTTATATGATAACAGCATCCACATAAGCATATAAAAATACAACATCCACATAAGCATATAAAAATACTGAAAAAGTTTATGAAACTTCATTCTAAATATTTCTAATTTCACTCAAAATAATTAAACTATTCTATAATATATTTAGAAAATATTGTCTTTTATTCATTCTGTTTTATTTTTTATTGAGCTAAATCAATCATTCTTCACCTTTTTCTTTTTCCCGGGCAATTCTCGTGTCTTCATCATCTACATTGATTGTGATATCAAGTTGTAATTATATTTTTTATGTTGTTATCTTTTTTGGGCTCATTAATCTTTTATCTTCTTATTTAACTTTACAAAGAAGTCAAATGTATTTCCGATGTTCAACACAAACTGCTTAAAATATAGACTTTAATTTTTTATTTCAATGAGAATAAATGTTAATGTCATATATATGAAATTCTTGGTGTTCCTAGTTTATTACTTAAATAAGATTAGAAGCTATCTCTTTTTTTCCTACAATGAATTTTTCTAATATGCATCCAGAAAGAGTTTCTATTATGTCAATAATATTACATTTGCTCTGTCCCTCTCATTTTTCACAAAGATCTAAACTAAATACTTGCATTTTTCATTACTAATTTGCCTTAAATTGTAATATTAATATTTAATTTCTTTAGTATTTGAAGAACAAAGTATGAAATTTATGAATACTTAATAATTTTTTATATCTTCCATGGAGAATTCCTCTTTGATTGAGATAAAGTTATTAAATTATTTTTTAAAGCAACTCAGGCAATGTTTCTTTAATAGATATGCTTTATGTTAATGCTAATTCAAGTGATTTATGGATATTTTCTGAATTTTAAATTTATTTTCGTTACTTTCTCATTTGTAATGGAAATAGCTTAATTCTTTTGAAGAGTATCTCTGAACATTTTGATAATTCCTCTATATGTAATTCATTATATTCTTTTACCCTATAAATATTATTAAAATCAAATATTAATGTTTCTAAATTATAATTAATTAATGCTAAGCTATTATATTATAGTATTTTATCATTTTTTAGATTTAAATATTTATCAATTAATGTTACTAATGTATTTTTGCTGCTCCAACCTATTAGTAAAATTATATGCAGTTACTTTAATTTATATACTAGTGATAATTTTAAGCTATAATATTTTTTAAATTTTTATTCCTTACTCGGATGTTTTTAATCAATTCTTATTGCTTTTGTTTACCAATATCAACTTATATTATTTTTAGATGTTGAAAAGGGATAGTAAACCCTAAATTAGAAATAACACACACACACACACACACACACACACACACACACACACACACATCTTAATGAAAAAAATACCAAATAATTACACTTTTCTTTGCCAATTTTTAAAAATTTAGCCTTTTTTTATAGTTTTGAATTTTCAGGGTATGATTTGTAGTTTTTAAAATTTTGGGAGAGTTTTTTAAAAAAAAATGTTTTAAGTTTGGTAATTGTAACTTCTATGTTTTATGTGTTGGTGGTAATTTTTTTAAATGTCAGGATATTTCATACAACTCTAAAATTTTGAGGGTCTTTTTATAATTATTAAAACTATAGATTAATTTTGGAAAAATTTAAATTTCATTGGTCTACCAATAGTTTCTAGATTTGATGCGTACTTGTTATAAATTTTGAAAATTTAGAGTTTTTTTTACAATTTTTAAATTTTGAAGGAGTTTTTTTACAATTTTTGTAACTTTAAGATTAATTTCGGTAAATTTTATATTTTTAGGTGCCTGAGGGTAATATCTTAAATTCATCTTTTGTTGTCTACAAATTTTAAAATTTTAGAATTTTAGGGTGATTTTTTATAATTTAAACTTTTGAGGGTGTTTCTATAGTTTTTGAGATATTGAGGTGTTAATTGAAAATTTAAAATTCTTCAGAGGCTACTGTTAATTTCTTAATTTCTTAATTTCATGTTTGTTGTTTAAGTTTTGAAATGTCAGAATTTTTTGGATGCATCATGATAATCCCTTGAATTCATCTATTTTGTTTATAAGTTTTAAAATTTTAGAATTTTAGAGTGCTTTTCTGTGAACTTTTGAGACATTGAGGTGTTAACTATAAATTTTAAATTATTCACAAACTGTTGTTAATTTCTTAATTTCATGTTTGTTATTTTAAGTTTTGGGACATTACGATGGTTTTTATAATTTTAAACTTTGGATATTTTGTGTAATTTTAAAACTTTTTAGGATTTTTTTTGCAATACTTTATGCATTATAGTATATTAGCTACGTATAATTTCTTTATCTTAACAAACTAATACCATAAAGATGTTTTATATATTTTATTAATATTATTTTTTAAATTGTTAAGCTATAGATAGTTCACGTAGGATTAGGATAGGATGTAATTATGATTAGCATAAATTAAGATATACATGAAATATTCAAAATAATGAAGGGTAATATTGACCATTGAAAGATTTACCTAAACTCGTGCTTTTAAAGGAAGTATATGATTTTGCTGAGTACATATACCATCCTTTTGTTCATGCATATTTTATTTGTTAAAGTAATTCACGTGCACATTTGTTACCATTTTCAGGAATTTAATCATTCTTTCTTTTGGAGTTAAAAAAAAAGCAAAGACTTTTCACGTGGAACTTGACGCGATTAATGGTGTCATGGTGTTCCTGTTTTGGTGGAAAACCTAGCAATTACAATATTCTGTACCTCGGACCACACTTCCAGCACCCTCAAGTGAATGACAGCAAGATAAGCTTTCTGTATCTTAAGTTCTGCATATCTTTCCATGAAACTAGTTTTTCTATTCTATGATTTAATCATGAAATATATGGCTGCTTTCCCTTCTTTTATGATTGCAATTTGAAAAGAAATGGTCCAATCTCCTGACAACTAATAGGATCAAAGTGTTATTTGGAATATACCTTCCGTTTCAAATTAAATGATAGACAACTAGATTATCATATAGTTTGTCTCAACGTCAATGGAGTGTTTATCATACTCATTAGGACAATCATTACCTTAATTTAGTGACAAACGTATATGGTGGACTCCAAACAAGCCTATGATCATGTTCTAGGGCATTGAATGAGAAATGTTATCCCTTCGCTAGGAAAAAGTTCCTTATTCCTGTGTATCCAAACGTATGTTTGCAAGCGTTTCCTTTGACTACTATCTAAGGAACAGTCATGATCTCTATTAATTAATATATAAATGAGATAGGAAGCAGCTTTCCAGCTGATTAAAGAACCACTGCTACATGGATATGCTTCTACCTCAAATAGTATAAAGATTAATCAACAATTGTAGGAGTCTAGACAAAAGCTACTGAATGGTACAAATTGAGTAAGAGATTGATGCTTTCAAGAGAACTTTCAGTCATATGAACATAACTAGCAAGCATAATTTTCGTTTCAGCCATCTCTATAAAGTTGTAGTGCTCAAGAACCTTTCCCCTTTGATGCAACATATTTTCCTTTCTCATGGGCACCCTTTATTGACCAAAATGTTCAAATTAAGTACTTCATACATACCGCCGTTCAATCAATTCACTTCTTCTGTTGCTACATCCTGTAGCATTTTATCAGAACCAAAAAAAAAAAAAAAAAAAAAAGAATCATAACTTCCCCAAAACAAACCAACGTTTGTGATGAAAGTGGTTTCTCTCTCTACTACTTTCTGATAGTTGTAGAGGCTAGAGAGGATACAAATCCAAAAATTATTTGTACTAGAAAAAGATTTCTTACCTTTTCTCGAGAATATTAAGGGAGAGTATGGTCCTCTGAGCAATTGAAACCAAAAGCCGTTGCCGCTTCCTTAATCACCAAGGTGACCATTCCCTTGACCTGTTTTACGTTGATTCCACTTTGGTTTAAGACAACAACATAAGCAAATCACATAAAAAAACATGAAGGGCAGTACTATGGGAGGAGAAAAGGTGGCCCAAAGTGCGTTCAATAATATAAAATAATGTAAAATCAAGGACTTAGGGCTTCGGTGAGTGGGCAAATGAGGGCTGTCCTTTCCCACCATTACAAAAGATAGCATCCAACGACAGTGGGGCTTCTGTAGCTCGTTATCTCTTTGCAGGCGGCCACTTTCCTCATTGTAATCTAGCCTCCTTTGACATGCATCTATCTGCTCATAATATCCTTTGCCAGATATTTACAAGCTAGCTGACTTTTCTTTTCTTTTCCTTTTTTTCACATTTTTTATTTAAGCCATTATTCAAAAATAAGGAAGGACCATGAAGAGAAGACCGAAACCCCACGTGACCTTTGTGGTCGTGATCCTTTTAGAAAGGAAATCGTATCATATACGGGCTATGGATGGGGAAAAACTATCCATTTGCAAACAAAAAACAGCTATAGAGTTGTACACTTGTACCTGTTTTTCAGTCATAAATTTCCATTTTTATTTTTTGGGGTATTAAATTTATGAACTCAAAGCTCTGCCCTGATCTATATTTAAACCTACAGACTTTTCTAGAACATCCCTTAAACCCGAAATAACCAAAATGAATCATTTTCAAACCGAGATTTGTTGGGGATTCGAATCACACAATCGAAGCCGTGCCTTTCCGGATCTTGTGCTAAGAGTTGAACAAGTAGGAAAATCACCGCAAATAAAAAAAACTTGCAGGAAAGAATAATCAAATTAGAGAACACCAGATTTAACGAGGTTTGGCAAACGTGCATAAGTTCTCGGGAGCCACACCACACAATTCTTTGATTAATTGAAGAAGATTACAATACTCGCAATATGTCTCTCTCTCTAAGATCTTTGATCTCAAAGTGCCATCAAAAACTCTCTTTTTTCGTGTTCTACAAACCCTAAAAACATATCAAGGTATATAAGTATCCTGACCCAAAATAGTTTCCCAAACGAACCAAGAAACTGGAAAAACTGATTTCGTCGACCGGACCATGAGTGTCGGTCGACCGGCCAGAACACAGTGTCTTACAGGGTCTTCGTGCATGTCTTCGGTCGACCAACGCATCACCTTCGCATCACCTTCCGGTCCACCGACGCATCACCTTCGGTCGACCAGTCGACTGATTGGTCACCCTCGGTCGACCGACAACACAGCTTCGGTCAACTGGCTAGAGCGTGTTCCTGAGCTCGTTTTCTGCAGTCTTTTCGGTTGACCGGATCTCCTCCGTCGGTCGACCGACTCGAGATTTTTTCAGACTCGCATTTTTGTTTTAGGTTTCGTTCTTCACACGACCAAAACCAACAATCTCCCACTTGGAGACGAAACCTCCATCAACGAACTCTCCCGAACTCCTGCCATCTTCGTAAGCATCTTCTCCTACCCAGATAAATCCATTCTTCAATCATCATCATCTCGGCGATCCTGTCGATCATCCTAGTGTGGCTTCGCCTTCATCTCCTAAGCGTGAAGGCCAACTGAAGTTGCACACAACTCCAGTTTGTTGATAGTCACTGCTTTCGTCAACATATCTGCAGGATTTTGGCTCCCCAAAAAATTTTCTCCAATTGTAACTTGCCGTCATCAATCAGCGAGCGTATGAAGTGGTATCGTATGTCGATGTGCTTCGTTCTGGCATGATATACTGGATTCTTAGCAAAGGTGTATAGCACTCTGGGTATCATAATAAAGAACATCGTTCCTCTGCTTTAAACCCAACTCTTCCAGGCACCCGGTCAACCAAATCATCTCCTTGCTGGCTTTAGTCACTGCGACATACTCTGCCTCAATCGTGGACAATGTTACTATCTTCTGCAGACGTGAGACCCAACTCACTGATGTCGACGCTAAGCTATAAACATACCTGTATCATGATCACCGATGAAATCTGCATCCATGTATCCCCGCAGTACCGACTCCTTCCTCCTGAAACACAATAGCATATTCGTAGTCCCTCTCAAGTAACGTAATATCCACTTCACGACATCTCAATATTGTTTCCCTGGATTGTTCGCAAACCTACTCATAACTCTCACTGCATGGGCGATATCCGGTCTCGTGCAAACTATCACGTACATAAGGCTACCAATAGCTGATGAGTATGACACCCTGTTCATGTGCTCCTTTTATGCATTTTTCTGGGTGATTGCTCCTCAGATAGCTTGAATTAACTGCTAAGAGGTGTGCCGACGGACTTAGCATTGCTCCTCCGATCTCAGAGACTTCACCTTCAGATCTGACTCATTCTTTACCATGACTTTTCACTTCTTGAAGATCCTGAACACCTCTAACTTGTGCTTCATGAAGTATGCCAAAAACCTTCCTTGAGTGATCGTCGATAAAGGTGGCATAGTATGTCGAACCGTCAAGAGAAGACATACTAGCTGGGCCCCATATATTTGTATGAACAAGCTCTAGTTTCTGAGCTTTAGGTGACCTTCCACCCTTCAGAAAGCTGACCCTCTTCTGCTTCCCGTAGATGCAGTCTTCACAAACACCAACTTCCATTGAATCGATGTAGATTAGTTTTCCTTGTGAGCGTATAATCTTTATATCATTCTCACTCATGTGTCCCAACCTATTGTGCCACAGATCTACACTCTCCTTACCAGCTGTAATTGCGATGGTGTCACTCGTATGTGAAGTTAGGTAGAGTACGTATTCCGGTTTTGTTGCCTTGGACAATCACCATAGTACCGTTTGAGATTTTCACGAATCCCCGGTGAATGTTAAAACATAGCCTTTTGCTCAAAGCTGGCCCACCGAAATAAGATTCTTCAACTTTGGTACGTGTTTGATGTTCTTCAGATTCCACTTGAAGCCCTTCATTTGAATCTGCATGTCACCTCTTCCAACAATATTGCAAGGCTCGTTGTCCCCTAAGTACACTTTCCCAAAGTCCATTGCTACATAGTTCTGAAGAAGCTTTCTATTAGCAGTGACGTGGAAAGAGGCTCCCGAATTAATTACCCATGAATCAGAATCACAGTCCATAGCAAGAATCAATGCATTTTGTACAAGGTGAGCCTCCTGCTCATTCGCATCCTTCTTTGGCGCTTTGCAGACTAAAAACATATGACCCTCCTGACCGCAGATCCAACACTTCCCTTGATAGGCCTAACCTTCGAGTTCGACCTCTTCTTCTTCGACTTCGACTGATTCCTATTCTGGTTACCCTTCTTCTGGCTTCGGCCTCTCTGCTCGAGATTTAGGGCTGAACCTGAACTTTCTGATTCTGACGATTTCCTTCTAACATCATTGGATAGAATCATGCTAACAACCTCGCTCAGCTTCAACTTCTCCTTTCCCGCTGAGTTCCTAATTACGGCCATGTAACCTGCCCAACTATCCGGCAACCGTGATAGAATCAATAGGACCTGTACTTCGTCATCAAACATGATGTCTACGAAGATAAGTTGATCAACAATCGTGTTGAACTCACCGAGGTGCATCGTGAAGGAGCATCCTTCTGCCATCTTGAGGTTGAAGAGCGTCTTGATGAGATGCACATTGTTTGTGGCTGACGGTTGCTCATACATCTTCTCGAGCGCTTCCATAAGCCCCATCGTTGTCTTCTCCTTCAATATATTGTGGGTGACTAATTTGGCGAGCAACTCGGATCTGCCCTAGAGCCTTTCGATCCAATATTTCTCAGTCCTCGTCTGATTCCTCCTTCTTCTTCCCTTAGCCTTGCCCATCAACGAACGGTAAAGATTTTTTTGGTACAAATAGTCCTCTATATGCGACTTCTAGTAGGCGAAGTCTGACCCGTCAAACTTCTTAATCTTCGATTTGCTTTCCTATGCCATGGCTCTCGCACAAATCTCCTGAACGAAACTCTGATACCAATTGTTGGGGATTCGAATCACACAATCAAACCCATGCCCTTCTGAATCTTGTGCTAAGAGTTTAATAAGTAGGAAAATCACCGCAAATAAAAGAAAAAGTAGTAGGAAAGAATAATCAAACCAGAGAACACCAGATTTAACACGGTTCGATAAACGTGCCTACGTACTCGGGAGCCACACCACATAATTCTTTGATTAATTGAAGAAGATTACAATGCTCACAATAAGTCTCTCTCTCTCTCTCTAAGTTCTTTGATCTCAAAG